TTTACTTACTGACTGACTGACTGACTGACTGACTTACTTATTTACTTACTTAGTTACTTACTTACTTGCTTGCTTGCTTCCTTACTTACTTACTTACTTACTTACTTACTTACTTACTTACTTACTTACTTACTTGCTTGCTTACTCACTGTGTATGTGTAAACTTACTACGCACTACAAAAAATATTCTTTTTGTTAAATAACTTGCATTGGTTGCTTCAACACTACATGTTGCCTATGTATTTGTACCTTTCTGCATTGAAAGACTGTTTCTGTTCTACACGTCTACACACGCATTGAACAAACACGGCCGGCCTGGTGGGAGACCCTTCGACAGCACTCGGCGTGCCTGTGCAGTGCGGTTGAGCCAACAGGTCCGGCTTCAAGGGTCTAGGTTTGTGCTTTTGAACGTCCCTTTTCCGTCTCGCATGATCCGGGAAGCAGTTTCCCGCCCATCTTAGGTTTTCGGCACACTTCTCGATTTGTGCGTCTTAGGGTTTAGGGTTTAGGCTGCTTTATAGGGCATAAATAGCTCCGTGGCCACGAGGACTGCTGCAGCTACGGGTGCACACTTTTGGGTCGGCAAATCACCTGAATCTTGTTAGGAGGATGACTTCACCTTGAAGGACCTTTGATGGGATAGACTCGAGCCCGGAAAGGCCCGGCCTCTTCGGAATCCACTTTAAGGCGCTCCATCACAAGCTGGACTTCCTGCTTGTCGCTTCTTGTGGACAGGGTTTGTGCCATGTTCGGAGTACCTCTGTCATGCCCCCTGAAGTATGCTAAGCATAGGCCCGCTATTTGACAAAACCTACCTAGAGCCGCCGTCACACTAGGGCTTGCCGTGTCCATGCGCGGTGTACAGAACCCGAAAGCTCACCAGCGCGCCCAGACGAAACCAAGTGTTAAATGAATAAACAGAGAGGCAAACACGTTTAGAGGTAGTCCTGTGCATAAACACACTCGCAGACATGCCAATGTAAATGCCCACGGCACACAGTCATACTAAGCAATGTGTGGACGTTCGCAAACAAGCATCAGTTAACAAAACATCGTGTTGACTGGCTCATCCATGACCTCAGCCATGAGCATCGTCAGTAAGCACGTTTACAGGTTGCATCACACCTTCATTATTTAAAGCGGGCGCGAGCATGCATATTTGCAACAGGATCAGGCGCCACACTAAGTTTTCGGCGTTTAGACTAAACGCCGAAAACATGCAAACCCTACCTGTGCACATATGCACACATGTACCGAGGCAGTCACTCATGCATGCATATATGATCATAGATGTTGTTCAATACCTTTCAAGAGTGCATGCCCGTAAAGACCATGCATATGCTGTCACGTGGTGGCGGAATCGAGTGAGTGAGAGAGCGAGCGAGAGAGAGAGAGAGAGAGAGATACATACATATATATATATGGTATATATATACACATACATGTGTATATATATATATATATGTACATACATGTATAGAGAGAGAGAGAGCAAGAGACAGAGAGAGAGAGAGAGAGAGAGAGTGAGAGTGAGAGTGTGTGTGTGTGTGGCAACCCTGAGTTTAGTCTTTAGTCTTAGTCTGTCTTGGTCCTCCTCCGCAGGTTGGAGCCACACCTGCATCGCAAAAACCGGTGCGCACCAATGACGACATGCAGAATTGGCACTCTATCCAAGAAAGCCCAATCTTCCGTGAAGGCTTGATTCTCTGGCGGGATGGGGGCTTTAGGATTTTGCAGTAGAGTGGGGTTCATGCTGTAGAAAACGAACCTCTGGACTCTGCATCCCCTGCTTCAGAATCAGCCATCTCTGGGATCATGTCTGGGGATATGTTTCATTTCAGATTGGACTATAAGGGAAACTATGAATGATTCATCAGACCCCCATAATCATCAGCCAGAACGGCATCCCGAGCATCCTCACGCATCGCAGGGGCAGGCGCCATGGCCGGGCAAGGTTTGAGCTGCCGGAAATCTAAAGCCGAAATGGCTAGAGGATTTCAGGCTTGTCAGGGTTTGGAGGCGGACACTAGCACAGCACAGTCGCGGCTTAACTATGAGCATCCGGGTTTATGGCCTGCGGACTTTGCGGCTGCTTCGAGGCCCTTCGTGGTTTTAATTAGGATTTTAGGGCTTGAGGGACTCCGCGGCCAAACAGCTCTGCCAAACTCCGACATTTGGGTGGGCTTCCAAAGTCCTGAATGTGACCAACCCGACGGCTGTTTTCGGTTTTTCCCACCCGCCTAGCTAGGGTGTAGGGAAGACGGAAATCTGCTCCCGCTTCGAGGTGGTATCTGAGTCAACGCATATGTCGCAGGACAGATTCGCATCGAAATGAACCTTCGCTTGAATTTCCGTCGTCTTTCACCAAACTGGCCCACTTGCAACTTAGTTGACAACTACACTGGGCTCCAGGGCTAGGCTTGTGTGTCCTAAGCCCCTGAAGCAGGGAGCCGTGTAAGTATTGATCCGCCGCCTGACGCGCGAAGTGCCCTTCTGACACCTCCTCCCTCAAGAAGGCGTCGAGTTGCGCAGCTGCCTGCTACGATGCGCAGACGGGTCCAGCAATGATAGCCCAGAAGACACGTTTATAGTGTTGAGGCGGTGTGGCATGCAGCACACTAAGGAATGTAAGACAGTGGGTTCTATGCAATCTGACCTTAGGTGTGCAGTAGACAAAGACAGCCCCCAGCCCAAAGTACCATGCACAAATCACATATGGTGGTCCGTGCAATACGATGATGACGATGACAAACGCAGAAATCCATCCACAATTGCGCCTAGCATGCTGAGACATGCTGATAACAGCCACATGCCCACACAATAGCATGTACACGTGCAAATGACATGCAAGCGCATGTAAGACCAAAACACTGTGACTGAACCTTTTCTCGGAATGGCCTCCTTGCTGCCACCACTGCTGCGCAGTCCTTCCTGGGCCCACCACTTTTTGCGAGGAGGATGCAATACCTACTACCTACGCCACAAAGCGAGGGTCAGGGGGTCACCAATGTCAACGCATGGATGCCGCTTAGATCCACAGGTGTGGGCAAGGGTTTGGACAATGCTTTCCCTGAACTTCAACCCCAGATCCCTTCAATGCCAAAATACGTCCATGAACCCTTAAGAGCCTAAACCTTATGATCCCCAAACCCTTGCCGCCGGGCTCTTAGTGCCCAAAACCCGAGATCCCTTGTCAACCTGGACCATGGAAACCCAGGTCTCCTAATTAAACCCTAAACCCAGGTCTCCCAGAATCGTTAGCCCTAAAACCTAGATCCCTAAAACCCTGAACCTAAAGCCTAAAACTTACATCCCTAGAACCCTACACCTAGATCCCTAGAACCCTGAACCCTAAGCGACAACATAGATCCCTAGAGCCCGAAAGCCTAGACCCAAACCCCAAAACCTGGATCCCTAGAGCCCTGAACCCTAGAACCCTGAACCCGAAAACCTAGATCCTCAAAACCCTAAACTAAACCCCAAGCCGAACACCCAGATCCCCAGAACCCCTAAACCCTCACCCCAAAAACCTAGATCCCTAGATCCCTGAACCCAATGACCTCGGAAACTGCCGGCCGAGGAGCCCCAAGGCGTGCCGCCTCGGGCTGCTGCAGTTCGGCTGCCGCGATAGCTTCGGCCAGCTGGCTGGCGGAGACCTCTTAAAGAAAAAAACATTATATACATACATGTATATACATATATACATACATATTTGTATACATGATGTCTGTCCATTTATAAGTTGTATATAAATATATAGAAGTGTATCTTTATGTGCACACATGAACGAAGAAGACAATGCATAAGTAAACACATGACAGTTGTGCTCTATTTCTGCCATTACCTGTATTTCTGTTTGCTTTTAGTATATAATATAGATAATATAGATATAGTGAAAGATACTATAATGCAACATCAGATAGTATACCCGAATAGAGAGCCATGAACCATGCAACATAGTACAACGAAATCTCAGCAAATGGTTTTGGCAGCCTCGAGGTTACTGTTCAAGGCTTTGGGACGTAAGGAGTGCGAACCAATTCAGGAGCTTTAAGAACAAGAGAAGCCCGCTAGTTCGGAAAATCACATCTCCTGCAAACCTGGCGAGGCACCGCACGTGCCCCCCCCATACGGTTGCAAAAGGTGGGAAGCCACTGAGAGGTCCCCCTTACCCCTATGAGCGCTGAACCCCTGAACCCACCTTCGACAGAGGCTCCTCGAAGCCAACACCGGCGCGAAGTCTCGACACTGCTCGAGCATTGTCGAACTGATCGACGAAGATTGGCCTTGCACGAGAACAAAAGGGCTATAGGGTTTTTGCTTGACAGCTTTTTCCGACTGCATGGGGCTATATAGGGTTTAGGGCTTAGTGCGGCAAAGGCCCCGCAGGATCTCGCTTTGAAGAGCACCCCGACAAGGCCCGCCCCGTTCCCCGAGATCGCTTTTTCAGCAACAACAGGCCGGGCTCTCTGTCCGTTGTGAGGCTGTCTAGAGCAGAGCAACCGGCTGCGCTCAACAACCTTCCGACGAGTCAAAAGAAGTAGGTATAGCACTTCTAGCTTGCTTGGTATGTTTATGTTATAATACAGTTAACGTATGTCATACTACATATCTAAGCTACACCTTCTGTTACAGCAACGCATTTGCATCCAGCAAAAGTTCAGGAAGCTACAAGTCTTGCACTGGGGATTTCGTGTGGGAAGCCTCGCATGAGTGCACGTGCACGTATCGCACGTTGCAAATTAAGAATAGGTCACAGCTGCGCACAACCATGACATTGCGGACTATGCTTATGTGGCGGCAGCACAGCATATATCGACGAAGCATCATGCGGCATCGGCTGTGCTTGGCAGCGCCGAGAGACTCGATCAACTACGCAGCAAATCAAAACAGATAACCGTTCGATACACCCGAGGCTGAGGCATTCAACCACACGTCACATCGTAAACAAATGAGGGGTCGACTCAGTCGCCCTCGTGCAAAGACCTACAGTCCTAGAGCTAGAGAAGTTTGATCTTGGGCACGACTGTCCACACCACCAGTGCCACGGCCACTGTGGGCACACAAAATAGCAACCCGGCTGCGATTCGAGCCTCCGGAAGCAACACTGTGAACGTTGACAGGTCCCACGCGACAATGCAAACAAAAATACAAAGGCCGCAAAGAATGACAAGCGCTGACGCGAGTAGTTCTAGCAGGTACAAGCTGCGCTGCCTCCGCAAATGGTATGCCAGCCGGAATAGGAGTAATATAAGAGAGGGAGACATAGCCAAGCCGTATGTCAATCCACGCATCAGGCTGTGCATGCCCTCCGCATACTCACCAACCCTAAAGCGGTCAAAGACAACATCCAGGTATCCCCAGGTTATGGGCACCGTCACGGTTACCAGCAGTCCGTAAGAAATGACTTGATTGGAGAGCTGATCCACGAGGATTCGCAGGACGTCTGACCGTACTTGATGCTCGAAGGCTTCGATGCTGCCAAACCATATTTGAATACATTGCAAAATGATCTTCCGGTCACAAGGCACTGGCATTCCTGATGCTGGGTCTTTGTGCCCCACGCAACAACACCAACTCACCAGCTTGTCAACACTGAAGGCTGCAATGTCGTCTCGCACTTTCTCTATTGTTCGGCAGTAGTCACGACCCATGTGAGCCGTGAGCCAGAAGTTCACGCTTGACAGCAGGAGAACGACCAGCCAAAAGTACCAGAAACCATCTATGAGGACCCAAGCAAACGTGGTTACAGCGTTGAAGACGATCAGAGAAAAGACTGTGATTTGAAGTAAGGGGCCCAACAGCGTAGGGCGGATGGTCAGCCTGATCTTGGAGCCTGCCTTCCGACTGTGTAAGTAGGCGGCAAGTTCTAGTAAGCACCACAACCGGTCCATGAACGTCGGATCCCACAAGACGAGCATGGCATCAGAATATCTTAAGAAAGCACCCAAACTGAGCATCGCCTCTGCTTTCAGCTTTTCATCATCTGAGATGCAGATCCTGTCCAGGAAAACCAGTTGCCTCCTTCGCCAGAAAAGCAAGGTGAAGACATACGTGAATGTGGCGAAGATCGAACACCACCCCAGGTGCCCAAAAATACTTGGCAAGATCCTGTAGCAATAGAGCAACCCTCCCAAAACAGCTGAGGCCGAGCCTACGGCTGCAGCCGCGGGACCATTGTTCGAAAAGAAGAGAAAGGCGATCTTTTGCCAAGTCGATCCGTGCCAACTATGCGACCAAAATGATCCAATTCTTGTCGTCACCTGGCTCCGTCCAAAGAAGTCGCCCTCGAGACTGCGCAGAGGTCGGGCCAGGCACCGCAGTGTCTCAAATGCTGGCGTGGCCCGCAGAATCTCAGGTGAAGTTGGCCTCATGGCAGCAATTACGTTGCAGAACAGCTCATCCATGTCCTCGGAGGAATCATCGTCATCCGTTGGATGTCCGAGCATGAATCTATACTCCTTTTTAAACTGGATCCACAAAGCAAAACTTGAGCCTTGAGCTCTTTCTCTCCCTCCGCCTGTCTCTGCACCGAAACAATCACTGTCCCGGAACCTTGGGCTTCAAGCACTCAGGGATGATCTACAATTCAAAAGGACAAGCTTAGCACCCACAGCAACAGCAACGTCTCTCGCAGAAGCAACACCGAAGCAGTCTTACGGGAAGGGCATGACGGTTGCTCAATTCTCTGCATATCCGTCTCCCCTGCTCCCAGGAACTCAGGAGGCAACAACACGAAAACCAACGATCACTGGAAAAGAAGAAGCGAAAGACCTCTTGAGATGAATCCAAATCTAAGCCCGGCACGTCACCACCGACCTCACGGCAAAGCGCCGGCATCAAGAACATTTTTTTGCTGCCCCACATCGGGTCGCGAAGACAAGTTCTTCATCCATACCGATGTCGAAGTTCAAGCCCCTAGAGTCACCAGACCGCATGCTGCATGCTGTCTTGACAATTGCAAGCACCGGTGTCGCAACTCAGCTGCTTGCGGTACTTCCGCACGCAGGGCTGTCTGCCTCGGATGGCTGATGACATGCATGGGATCAGCCTTGCTTTCTCTGGATACCTCCACGGAGTAGTAGCGAAGTCTCGCAGAACTACTTACGTGCGTTGATGGCACAGCTGTTCTGCAAACACCGCGCCATGGTGTGTCATGATTTGCAATCGAGGCACACTGTTCCCGCACCACCGTGGTGAACCAAGCAGCTGCAGTGGGGAAGCAGCCAGGTCTGCGCAAGAACGCATCTTTCACGTGCGCCACATGACTTGTATATATATATATATATATGTACGGTACCCGGTGGTCGACCTTAATGTGTCTGGCATGCCGCTGAACCGTCGCTGCCCCTTGCTGTGTAGCAACATGTTCTCCAAAACCGCAAACACCACCAACGGCACTGCATTCAAGGCGAGAGCTATCTTTTGCGAAACCACGTAGGGGAACTACAAAACATGCGTCCACGCAATAAGCCTGCAAACCCGCAGTACAAATTCGCGAAGTTTTTTGGAACTTTCAGGGGGCTGCTACCCACAGACATCCACTGCTGCACGGCGGCGTGAGGCACATCGGCCACGAAGCACACGCTGCTTCGCGCAAATTCCGCAAGCTCATTCCATCCCTGGCTGATGCAAAGAGTGTCATTCAGTCGTCCGAAGTCGTTCATAGTTCCAATGAGGAGTCTTGAACTCTTTGGTTGGCTGAGGAGTGTGCACATACATATGCGCTAGAGTCACAAGAAATGCCACCCGGATTTGAACACTCCTGGTGCGCAGAGGAGCACGGGAACCTCGTCGACCAGGTCACCATTCAGCAACCGATCTCCCAACCTTAAGGCTGTCAAGGGTTCAGAGAATTTCGTAGACCCTAAACCCTAAGGGTTTGGGGTGTAGGGGCTTATAGGGTTTAGAGATGTTCCTAAACCCTAAACTATATGGGTTTAGGGTTGAATGCTTAACGTTTGAAGGTTGTAGGGACTTAGACTCTCGCTGCCCTGACGCCGTGGGGCTCCGCACGGTTCAGGCATGTATTAACCAAGAGGAGCTGGAACAATCTGAAAGGCAAGTGCACAAAACAGTACAGCCACGAACAATGAGAAGGATGCCTACTCTCAGCCGCAACCGGGAAAGATCAAACATCGATTTTGCGAGCAGAAGAAACAGTTTACCCAGAGTTCCGAACACCCTCATCTCCTCGCCTCTGACTGTCTCGTCTCTCAAGAGAACCGTGATCTGTCCGAGCTTGAGTAGCTGATGAGTTGAAGCTTATATGCAACTTTTCTAGGGGCCAAATAGGGTTGGAAGGGTATCCTCCTATATACTACTTACATTATGAGGATCCGTAGCGAATAGTATTGGCACTTATATAAATATATTTTTTGCACTTATTCAAGCCTCTGTATTACCCGTTTCCTGAGCCACTGTTGCTGGTCGGACCAGTAAGCCAACTCTTCTCATACGTCTTTGGCCGACATAAACGCCTCAGTCACACCAGTGGAATATTCCCTTTTCCTTTTGCAGCCAGGCCTCCTGACCCTTATTCTAAACCCGGAAACCTTAACGGCACACCCTAAACCCTCTCTCTCTCTCTCGCGAGCTCAGGGGATCCCGTCAGACGCAACGCTCGTTCTTTGAATGGGGCCAAGACAGATGCCAATTCCCTAAACCTTTAGGATCAAGGCCCCTTTTCTTATAATAGTACCCCAGCATGGAGAAAGGTTCCCTACCCCGCCACCAAGGACTCATCCCTGCACTTCTTCACTTCAGCGTGTCGGCAGATGAGGCAGTCCTCGCGCTTTGTCTACCTTTTGGGCCTCTTTTTTTTTAAGTTTTTAGGGTTTTGGGTTCAGCACTCACACTCGGACAAGCCTTGGCGAGGGTACTGGTACGTGGCAAGAGTGCGTTGGCTCGCTAGGCACATATAGGGTTTAGGGTTTAGGGGTTTGGTGTCCTGGCCAAGATCGTGGGAACAAATGTATTGGGATGCTCAGACTTTCGGGTCTGCGGAGACACGGCTAAAGTGGCGAATCTTGTGAACTCAAGCCTCATGCGCTCGAGAAAAGGAGCTATGGCACCGTAAGAGTCCAAAGTAAGTGCCCAATGATTTTTTCCACCCGCCCAGCTGGCACCCAATGATTTGGTAGTTGGGTATAGGGTCGTGCATGTTAAATGCAGGCATTTTGGGCGGTGGGACCCTAGGAATGGGAACCTCCTTACGCGGCTTCGTTGAGTTAACGCCAACTCCCATCATGCCAAGGGGCTGGAAAGGACTACTATTTATTGCTGCCATGATGACTTCTTGTTTTAATGGTAGTATGTCTCCTACTATTACATGCCGAAACTTGGCAACCCGCCCACGATTGACATGCTGTGGGCCTACACATCAGTTTCACAAGCATTTCTCAGCCGTAGCCCTTTCCTGTCACGTCATATATGCTTCGGTTGTTATGGTTGTGATGGATCGGGAAAGTTAGGCAGCTATGAATCAGGGAGGCCCGAAACCAGTATCGGCAAACCACCGGTTAAGAAGAACTCCGGGTTGACTTGACTTGGGCACGCAAAGAGGCGGTCGAAAACTCCTAAGGAACACTAAAAGACAAGTACCGTCTTAGAGAAAGGCGCCCATGCCATCAACCCATAGTTCTTGGGCATCGCCGACCACATGGTCGGTCCATGAGAGTCTTCTGCTCCGAGTAGGAGGGCAGTGGCGGTGTGGCACTTCTGGCTTTTGGGGCTCAGGGCGCGGGGTGAAGAATTAGCTCTACGGTCCTATCCTTGTAGTCATACCGGTCATTGAGTGGTCGCCTAGTGTTGCACAAACTGTTCCTAAAGTTCGTCTAAGCTAGCCTACCACATTCTCATGTCCCTGCATCGCATAGCGCCGCTATTGCTGCTTTGCACTGAAGGGTCTACTAGCAAAGCCGCTCGCCTGTTTTTTCCTGCAAACTGTTTTCCGCTTCAATGATTGGGGTTTCTCGACTTCCAAGTCTTTTGCACAGTGCCACATCGCTGAGCTACTGCAGTGCTTAAGTGGATTCGCATCGTCGCTCTGCACAGATGACTGTGGGTGGCTGTCACACTCAATGCCACGTTTCTCAATCTCTTACGGCACCAACCCTGTCCGACTCGGAAACCTTTTCCGAGCACTGAACCCGGAGAGTCGGGACACTCTCCCGCAACCAAGGCCCTTAAAGCAATAAGGTGCAATCATGCCTGCGAAGGAAATCCTCCAACCGGGCTTTTTCAGCCGAGATGAGGATTATGGAAACGGTACGTCGTTATATGATGTTGTATATGTGTGTGTGACTGTGTGTATATATAAATAAAAAATATAGATATACAAATAAATAAACAATTGAGTATAAATAAATAAACAAAAAATAAAGGAGTAAATAAGAGTATGTATGTATATATATATATGTGTGTATATATATATATGTGTGTGTGTGTTTGTGTATACACACGCGAGTATTCACCGATCGTTGTAGGCATAAGTGATAAGTCTGGGTACTGCGGCCAGGGGAACGTAACCTCAGTCCATTTGCGGCGGCCTCCGCATACGAGTGGAGATATGAGCATGTGCGCGAATAAACCTGAAGAGGTACATTCCTGTCCCACTGCCTCTGAAGCTGAGAGCATTCCAAAGAGTGACAAATCATGCGAGCAGCATAGTATGGAAAAACGACGCAGGGAAACCTGCAGTTCTACAGCATTCCCGTGTGCCGTATGTATTGTAAAGAAATAAGTAGATACTGCTACAATACAAAGACGCTGCTTTGCAAGTAGCCTTATAACTATAACTGTAGGCACTGAGCCACTGTCAATCAGAATAGGTCAGATGCTTGTATTTACCTAAACACACCGGTCATCGGTCTACAATCGACGGAGGACTGTATATGTGCAGTATACACGTATGTGTGTATTCATACACACACATGAACGAAAGGCATCTGCCTCTGGATCAAAAGAGAAAAACATGTCGAAAACAAGAAGGCCTTACACACATTCGAATGATGTGGAATAAGCCATGGTGTGATAACACCGAGATGTGCTAAATCAATCGACATGGCCGCACGTGGCCGCATCCTGCTACTGTAAATCGGGAGGATATATATATATATATATTATGTATGTATGTATGTATGTATGTATGTATGTATGTATGTATGTATGCAGCATGGATACATGTATGTATGTATGTATGTATGTATGTATGTAGGTAGGTATGTATGTATGTATGTATGTATCTGTGTATCTATGTAGGCATGTATGTATGTATGTATGTATGTATGTATGTATGTATGTAGGTATGTATGTACGTATGCATATACATATATATATATATACATATGTATACACGCACGCTTGCAAACCAACCCATGTGCCAGCAGAGGAATCTCTAAAACGTGCAGGTGGTACAGTACAACATTGCAGCACAGCACGTTTGTGGTGTTTCCGCTGAGTATTTATGGGAGAGAGATCATTGATTTGGCTGCGCTAGCGCCAATGCGAACCCTGTCGTAAGATTGCATATCTATGCCGCGCCTTGGCCAGGCAAGGCAAAAACAACGATCGCATCCAAGCGACGAGAACAGTCGGTAACTCAAGCTGGTCTCCTGAACTTGGTCTGAGTTTATTGCACAAAGTCTATACCGACCCATTGCTCCCAAACGGCGTTGAGGAGAGCAGGCTACCAACCGGGAGATGCATGCAAATGCCGAGTTCCGAGCATTGCCTCGTTTGCCTTCGGACTTGTAAAGTCGAGTCCTGAAGCTATGGGCTTTTAGAAAGAGTTGCCATACTGAAGTCGAGCATATCATACGAGATATTGCTCTAGGCATGCGCAAGTTTCTCCGACTGGTATAGTGTACTAGAGTATCTAGCCTCAATATCAGGCCTGAGCACCTCCCATGTAAAGTCCAGGTGCCTTGAAAGCCCAAGCGGCATCCGATGGGCCGGAACAGAAACTTAAGCTCTACCGAACACAGAAAACCCTCAGGGAGGCTCAGGGGCCGAGTCGTTGAGGATGCTGGGCCGAAAGTATGACGAGCCTACAGGCTGCCCAGTCCTCAGGGCTGCGAGGCACGCTGGAGAATATGAGAGAGATATCCGGTGATTGCGAGGACAGCACCTACCGCCACCCTCTGAAAGGGGCATCTCGGGCCGTGCCAAAGGGCGCTATCGGACTCTGTCGGTCTCTCGTGCTTGCAAGCTTGCAGTGCTCCAGGACCTCCCCCGGCTTATACGAACTTGTAGCTGGTGCCTCTATGGATGGGCGTGCACTTAGCTACTGCATGCACATCTACCAAGACCGGCCTGTACGCATCACTTACGCGAAGACATGCTTTGGCACGAACGGAAGTTGTGACTGCGTGCCTTGGTGGTCTGCCAAATATGTATAGATATATACATACATATACATGTATATATATACATATATATATATATAAGTATATGTATATAAGTATATGTATATATATATATTGTGTGTATATGTATAGGTATGTGCATCCCCAGGGCCCAAGAAGTTTTCGATGAGAGAAGGTCTACCCTGTTGCTGCATGCCAAGTTCACATATCACCTTGTGTTTTTGAACAAGCAAATGTGTATATCTGTATGTATATATATATATACATACATACATAAACACAGACACACACTCATATATCTATATATATATATATATATACACATATACATACATACACACGAATTCACACACACACACACGCACGCACGCACACACACACACACGCACACGCACACGCACACAGAGACACACAGACACACACACACACACCCACACTCTCAAACGTATATCTTGTATAGTATGGCCATATATGCCAAGGTCTCAGTTAACATGTTCTTTGATTGTCACCATGTCTCTTAAAATGGGGCTCGCAAATGCTTCGGGCTTGAGGTGGCGGTGCTGCATTGGCTGTCCGGAGGATCACGTCCTCTGATTTCCAGTCGCTGACTGAACTCACAACCCAAACCAATATCCGCAGCCCAGCCTCCGATCCTACCAGCCTTGAACCTAAAGAACCTAAATGTCACAGCCCTTGTAGCCTTTGTAGCCCGATGTATCAAATTTCGCAACTCCCTCAACCCCTTTCTTTGTACAGCTCGATGTTCAGGTCCCTGCTGAAAGGGGAGCATGCACAAACAGCTGCAGCCCCAGCACCTCGGACGCAACCCACTCTTTCTTCACTCACTCGAATCTTCCTGCGTGCATGAAGGCGATAGGTTTTACGATAATGCCGCTTCGAGCCGGATCTATTTGCGACGGCCGAGGCACAGTAGACCTGTCTGTCACCCATGGGTGGCCTTGGCTATCGGCGCCCCCCAAGCCCTCGTCCCAGCTTGAGGCTTTTCAAAACAAAGGTAAAGCTAAAGCTCATTACCAGAATAAGATCTATCTGCAGAGACGATGCGCGGTACCCGTACCCGGAGTTTTGGGATGATCCATTCCGTATGCATATGAGGGGGACAATGCTTAGGGGCTTCGCGGAGTAGCCTGAAGACGTTCGCATCTGTGGTTCTCATCTGTCCACAAAAACGGGACTTCAGTAGCACTACTGTGACGTGTGCGGACGGGCCAGCTGCGACTACAAGGTGTGAGTGATATGCGATCGCCACCTCCGGAAAGCATAAGGAACCCACACAAATCCGCCGAGGAGCATTTTTACCCAAAGTTGCCGATTGGGATCGTAGCACTCACCAGCGAGCGCCATGTCCTGCTGCTGCTTGTGGCTAGCGGTACAGGCTTCTGCATCGATGCGTTCCACACCCTGCGTTTCCGGCACTTTGTCTAGATCTTGTGATAATGCATACCCTATCACTCTTATCCGGCTGATGTCATGACGTCTCGCTTTCAGCAGTGTGTCTCCGCGGCTGCTGTTCCCAACAACCGACACTCCCAAATGTGCGAAGTTGTCGCGAGGGGTTCTGAAAATCCGAGATCTCCCTTGGGGCTTTTTATTTGAGAAGCTCGCTTTACAGCATTACTAGTACGGTATATTACGGTCTTACATGTTGGCAAGCACACACTTGATATCACTTGATCTTCCCCTGCCTCTGCTGACTTGCCGCCGAATACATAGAGGCAGCCTGTGCCGGGGTTCACAGCAACTCCACTGGTCAAACACTGAGCCAAACAGCTGTCCTGAATGAAAATAACCTGGGCTCACCGCCTTCCTCATGGAAATTACAGTGTGATATCTGAAGCTTTGACAACCTCGGCTTAGGGTAAGTTGAGTTCAGTAGTTCAGCATGGAGGTTCAGGACTTTGCTGGAGCTTCCGCAGAAACGGGAGTCCTGCAGCACGCCTGCACTCGCTTGGAGGTTCATAGCGATCACACTAGCAAAACGCTTCTTGTCTGCTACAGTAGAAGGCGTAGAAAGAAATCGGCATCAGCAACGGCGAACTGAACCCTTGAACCCCTGCACCCTTCCAGCTTGGTCATGTTGCCAGTAGACGGTGTTCCTGGCGAGACCCGTGTTAATTCATGGAAGTACATGCCACAAACTTCAAAGCTGACACTCTACATCGCCAGCAATACAACATAAGCTTTCATGACTTTAGACGGCTAATTATACAAACTCTTAGCCGACCTTAGCCGCCTTAGTCCCAACCGCGCATTCAGGCATCGAACAATCGCGGCACCTTGCCTCCAGTAACTGCTGCGGCACCGCCGACGCGGGGAGTGGACATGGGGGCGCGCTCCTCTTGCTGTGAAGGCGAGGATCGCTTGGGGATACGAGGCTTTCTTAACAATCAGTGCGCATTGCGCACACACACACAGATAGATAGATAGATAGATAGATAGGTAGGTAGGTAGGTAGGTAGGTAGGTAGGTAGATAGATAGATAGATAGATGGATATATATATATATATGCGCGTGCAAAAGAGCATAATGCGTAATGGAGCGTAAACGTCTGCTTCAGGGCATGCAGCATTTTCATGGCAAATGCGTGGAACCGACGTCAAGTGAGCCTTACAGAGTTACAGGGCACTTGAGTTGGCAAGCTCCCCGCAACTTGGCTTCGACAGAGACTCGTTAAATCGCCCGTATGTGCGGGTCATCACCAAAGATAAGGATACCAGCACGAAAGGGCAGTGCGCCAACAAATAGCTGGATCTGCATGTTACCATTACCAGGTATGCGCATAGATGCTCGTGCGCACTTGCGTCTGCACGTTGGTTGTTGTGCTTGAACGAGGGGTGCTGTCGATTTCGTGGTGTAGGGTCACCAATATTTATACACTTCGTCTGAATGAACACTGCCGGCAACATGTGCAGCAGCTCCGCCCAAAAGCCAGTTGACGGATCGAAGCATTCTACCTGAAAAAGAATATAGGTCTTTACAATCTTTGGGTGCCTGTTTGGGTTTATGACTCCATGCCCCGATGCCTGTGCTATCATTTTTGCCTCTACTCCTACCATCCTCTCGGGGAGCTTTTTGGGCTTTGCTGCCTCCCGCCTGAAAAAGTTTAGGGTTTGGGTTGGGGGGGCCCTGAAAGCCTCGTACGGGGCTCAGGGACTGGTTGGCTTAATGTTCGGCTGAGATCGTGGTCTGACAGTTCAGTGCACCCAGATCACTTTTGACTGCAAGCAGTTACTTTCGTTTCAAGGTATTATATATATATATATTTTTTTCTCAGGGTTTAGGAAGTTTCGGTTTAGGGAGCAAACATGTTTGCTTTCAAGGTTGGCTTCTGAAGGGTTCCCCAGTCCCAGGCAGCGAACAAAAGGGGGGTCCAAGGGTTTCCAGCCAGCTGAGCCACTCGCAAAAAACCTGGCGACCCACTCCCCTTCTGAAGTCCAAAGTGGCCTCGTGTTAAACAACGTGTCTTGCTGCCGGTCAATTCAAAAAATCATGCAATATGGTCTACATGTCCTTCTGTAGTCTTGCATTGGCCTTTGAACCGGTAACTGCCCAAGCACACTGGAGAGGGCGATGGATCCGTTGAAGCCCCCTGCCGCGTAGATCAAGTCCCCCACGGTGCCTGAGCCAAGGTGTGCAGATAATAAGCTCGCTGACCCTAAACCCTAAACCCTACATAAGTCTTCCCTCACTTCCGGAAACGGACAGTGAAGCCTGCAGCAAAGGCAGACCGCGGGGAGAGCATCGGTGGAAGCTTCTCCCACCGTCCTCGGTCACACTCGGACTGGGCAAGAGTCGAGTCGGTCGTGGCACCCCCACTACAGGCTTTTGGAGGGTGTGTATATAGGATATTAATATAGGGACTGCAAGGGGGATCAAATTTACAACATACTTGGACCCGTATTTGGGGATGCAGAGTCCAACAGTCCAACACAAAGATGGCTGGAGATACACAGGCTCAGACCGACAAAGCATGTTGGAGCTTTGTCGCTTAAGCCAGGATATCGTGACGGGGACCCATGACAGCAAATAAGCCGGCTCGAGATCTCCTTCTCCGGACAGGGCATACAGAGAAAGAGGCCGAAGACAACAAAAGACCGATTGCACCAAGCAGCGCAACGCGCTGGATGCATGATGCATATCCTGTCATCCATCAGACTACATGATACAGCATCCCGTTTGGAAGCCCCAAACTCATGTAAACTCTACCTAGGCCCTGAAGAACCTACAGTACCTTTTTTGGAGGACTTATACAAGTAAATCAGCATAAGGAACCCTGAAATGGTAGGCTGCAGAGGAGTAAAGCAACTCTGAACTACATGACATCATCCGGTGCTGGAGCCAAGCTTCCAAAAGTGGGGTGAAAGCGCTCTGCCACGCCTTGAACACGACCGTTGCTGCCTCTGGTCATGCACCCGATAGAAGTTTCGGTCAACCACGTAAGGCTTCCTTTGATAATCACACGGTGTATTATACCTTTTCAGCACTCACACTCGGACTATTATACCTTTTAGGGTTTAGGGTTTATAGGGTTAATTATCAACACCGTCATACAGCATCGTATAGTGGAGCATGGCAATGCTGCGCATCCCACACCTACTGTGGTTGGCTCCGGTGTTTAAGACTTTAAGAGGCAGCTTCGGTGCATTTCCCGCCCATGATGTAGACGCAGCCCTTGGCCGTCGCAGCCGCGCAGCCGCTCCGTGCGGTAGGCTGCCTGGAGCAAGGGTTTAAGGTTTCGTTTAGGGTTTACAGCTCCTGCTTGAGTTTCAGATCTCACAGTGGGACTCTTCCGGCCAGGCCCCGTGGGGGTGTAGGCTTCTGTCATGTTCTATCTGGCTATGTGAGGCATGTGCATCTATCTACCAAAGTACCGATTGAACAGGCTCGAGCCTCTGTGCGCAGAAGCATGGAATCTATCGACCAGCCGCAGTTGCATACATCGGAAAACGATGAAGACGTCAAGCAAATTGACTGACATGATCGAACATGTAAATTGGCATCCACGTGCAGACAGAGCAATCACCTATTCATGAAACTGCTCCTGAAAGAACCACGGAGTTTCGCAGGACTGACCATCTAACATGATGCTCCACCCGGTTCCTTCCAATGGGGTGGCTGAGTGAGAGCATGCCAGTACGACTGCCGACCCCCAGAGTTGTATTCCACTTGTAGGTCGCAACAGTGGAAACTGAAGGAAACTCAAATGATGTCGAGACATTGGTCCTGTACCCTGCGTCGGATGCAGGAAGAGAGACTGTTCCAGCTCTCGCAAGTCCGACGAGGCTTAGGATATAGCCTTCTTTGGAGCTTGTGGACTTGAAGTTGTTGCACCTACCAGAAGCCTAAGGCCTGAGGTCACTCAGCTCATGCCAAGGCCTCGCCTTGGCAGCATCTCCCATCGCTCGATTCCTCCCACATGCAACATGGCAAAGCAGCTTTCAGGCGACTCGGCACGGGAACGTGCTAATTCTTCCCATCGTTACCCCCAACTGAAAACCGCGGCTCCGATCCTGGATCGAATCGCTCCACTGCGGCCAAGACCGTCTCGCACAGCCGGCCTGAGAGGCAAGCATCCCATGAATCATGCTGCGGTACACGATATCGGCAGATCCTGGAATCATGGAACTTCCCCGCCCCGTCCGAAGCGACAGGCAAACTGCACCAAACAAATCGAGCACCAAGCACCTCCGCAGACGTAGATCAACCCGTCAGCTGTCGTTGCGGCACAGCCAGCACGGGCTGTGGGCATTGGTGGCAGGACCTGTTGCCGGCAAACAGGAAAGCACTCGACCCCGGCATTCCCGGCGATAGTACAAAAAAACAATACAGAAACCTATCACTGCCCACCTCCCAGGTGCCGTGCAAAGGCCCGAAACGTTCGGCACAATCCAATTGTATGTAGTCCTCGGCTGAGAAACGTCGGGTTGTTGGCTAGACCCTGAGCTGAGCCCCAAACCCGCCAAACCCTACACCGAAGCTTAAAGCGGTGGGCTTTCTCTTTTTGGCCCTGAACCCTAAACCTCCTGCCAACTCACATAGTCCTGCTAATTCAGTTAAGCTCGTGTGGGATGGTTCAGGCGGAGGTTCGAGCTTGAGAGCTGCTTCCAGCTCGTACACAATCCTTAGGGCTACCTTTAGTTGCAGCAGCGTAGCAGTCAATATGTTATAGTATACTATAGTATGGTAATCTTATCTTGCAGAAGTGGTGTGGCTCAAGTTTCGTCTGCGCAGGTTGAAGCCATGAAACCAGGTGCATGCTCTTCACATCTACACCTACATGATGTTACGAAGGCTCCCAGGGAGACGGCGGGCCCCTATAAGCCCCCAAATCTGAAATCATCTAAGCGGCCCTGAGCATGCCGTCGATGGTGTTCAGGGAGTTGGGTATAAAGCCGGTGCCAGGGATCACGCTCACAGCTTCGCCCCCGAAGACGTACAAATAACCTGAGATCCGGGCGTCACGAAATCACCGATACAGAAAAGGCAAGAATGAGAGGACAGAAGTTATTCTCTCAGGGCACAGGTCTACGGTACCAGCCAAACTGATGGCTTTAAACTTAAACCTCCTTCCATGTCTGATGCAAGGTGGTGCCGTTGAATGTGCTTCTGCTACTCGGGGCACTTCTGCTTGCGCCGATGCATGCACCGTTTGGTTCCGTCTTTTCAATGCAGAGGGGAGCTGCCCCACTTCAGGACGAACAAACGAGCGCAAGACAGAGAACAAGAGAGCGAGCGAGAGAGAGAGAGAGAGAGAGAGAGAGAGAGAGAGAAGGAAGCGAGACACGAGAACAGCGAGTTTCAAAGCAAGAGGCTGAGCCAGAGAGGCAAGCAAGAAGGCAACGAGAAGAGGAAAAAAGCAACGAAGACTGCCATGTCTGCAGCCAGGCAGCCGTTGCACGCCGTTGCGGCACAAAGCCTTCGGGAGCTGGGCCTGAGCACTCAAGCCAAGCCAAACTCATAAACGAACCTTTTTTTATTGTGAACACCTTTTTCCTCGAAAAGGGTTTAGGCTTTGGGGTTCAGCTAGCATAGCCGCGGCCACTCATGCGAACGATTTCTGAGCAACAGGGCGATTCTGTGACACTGCCGAGAAGCTGCAACAGGACGCGAATCACTAGAACATTTACCCGACATCTCACTACACTACACTGAATCTGCGTGGAGCTGAGAGCAGGTCTGCTTTTCTTCAAACTATCAGCCCCGACATGGATCGAAGGTAAGCTTTCTATTTTCCGCTCTGCTGCAAAGCCGGTTTCCGAAATCCTCTTGTCGCATCTCAGCTGCATAGATGGCACTGGTTGCCATTCTGTGCCACCGGCATCCAGTCGCTTCATGACGTTCAACACACCTCAGCTTCATCACTTCCTCTTGCAAGGGGCGCCAAACTTCGCAGACATGCGTCCGTGTAGAGAGCGCTAAGCGTGCAGGAGATCTTTGCTCTTTGCGAGTGAGGCAAGGAGGAAGGGTACCGGGAGAAAGCCTTTCAGCCCCTGATTCCGGACATGACATACTTCGCGAACACAAGAGAAGGTGAGCGATCTACACGATCAGCCGGCCAGCGATGGATTCCAGCAATGAAAATAGCACCGATCCCAAACCCCTCCTGGGACAAAACAATGCGAAGTCGTGCGGGCAGTGCAGAAGCCATATGGGGTTTAGGGTTGTTTTTGGGGGACCTTTTTCCTGGCGCACGCCCAAGAGAGCCCATTTGGGGTTTAGGGTTTAGGGTTTTGATACAGCCTCCAACATCCCGAAGAACCTTGTCAGCAGAGAGGCCTAAGTTGCGACAAGCGCCGCCAATCACGTAAATGGACGGCATGGCCTGGTGTATCTCTGTTTTAGCTTTCGGTAGACTAGACATGATGCGATTTGCATTTTGTGGTTTCGCGTGTTTGCCTCCCGCTGTGTGAGCTTTTGGCTTCAGGCTTGGGTGCTTGGAGTTTCGGGTTTTCAGTAAACTCACAACTGTGTCCTGTTCTCAACATGGCACTCCAGAAAATTCCGGAGGGCTTCACAGACAGGCTTTGGCAGGTGCCTCGGAGTATGGTCGGGGCGCTAGCCTTTGTCTTGAAAACAAACGACGGAAGACCACAACCGAGAGGATCACGAACGAGACGCCCCACCTTCCCAAGGCATGTAAATTGTCATTGGCATTTCATGCAAGCATATGCAATCGGCAGTCGTCTAAGGTGCACGAGCTGAACAAACGGCTTGGGTGACAGAATCCCCATGCCGCAACCCCAAAATTTCATGTCGCATATAGGACATATGGGATTTGAGAGGCTTGTAATACTTCGGCGCTCACCCTCGGACACTCTTAGACTCCTTACGCTTTCTCGCATGACCCGCGCAGGAACTTCAACCAGGACAAGGCTTCAACCTTACGGCAGAAGGGGAAGGAAGAGTCGATCTGCGCGGCCCGTGCAGAACGGCAGGACTATATGGAAATGGATTCCCTCTGAATCCCACGGCCCCAAAAGGCCTAGCCTAGCTTTAAAGACCCCCAACCATGGACTGTCGAGTTCAAGCTGCGCTTGCGTAAAGCACTGGCATGGACGTCTGTAGCTCCTTGCAGAACAAGGTTTCTAAGTTATGTAGCTTACGCTCTCACACTTCGAACTGGTCAGAAGAGGTCTCCAGGTCTCGCGCGAAACATCTCGGAAAGCACAAGCAGTTTTTGTTTGCCTCGCGTCTGGCTAACTGTGGTTTAGGTCTTGTAAGCTGAAAAATTACAGGGTTCGAATGGCTCGATTCCTTAAAACCTCACTACATGGGCTCCAGCAACTAGGAATCTCGTCCTTTCGTGATAACTCTCCATGCTACGGACTGAACTACTGACACTCAAATACGGCATCGACTCGATGATCGCTTCCAGGCTCCCGCCCTCACTTTACAGGCGATACGGAGAAATCCAGAAATCCGAAGTCCCATACGGCAGCAGATCGAGGATTTTAGATGTAGCCCCAAACGTTACACAATATATAGTTATGGCGCCTTAAAAAAAGGGTAACGTACCCCCTTAAAACACTAGGTCATCGGGTTAAGGTTAACCCTCCCGCCCCCGGTGCGCCTTGCCCAGCGCCCTGCGGGTTGCCCGACAGGCTCGCGCCTGGAGGGAATGCGATAAGAGGCGAGGCATCTGAACTCCCAACCAAGCACATATGCATTTGCGTGTATTTGCGTAAGCATGCATACGCCCATTGCATGATTACATGCAAGCATGTGTGTGTGTGTTCTCGCAATCAAGCGAATGAATGAGTCGATGGAAGGGACGCTTTCACACAAACAAATGCGGACATACATACATACGTACATACATACATACATACATACATAACATACACACACACACATAGACTTATGTATACGTACAGACATAGTTTTTTCGAAGGTTACCGCCGAGGCACGGCTGGTAGCCCGGCTGCTGAGACGAGCATCATGAGAAGCTGCGGATCCTGGATTTACTGCTTTTTTTGCCCAGAAGCTGAGGGTATGGGGCCGAGTTCTTCGATTCAGATTTCGGATGGGTGCTCTCAAGCAGGCATCCTGCGAATGTCCTACAATTCGGTCGGGAACAGGACCAAAAGTAGCGCTTGGAAGAACACTAGACTATACAGGCAACGCCGATACGGATAACTCTTGGCGGATATCTTAGCCCATAAACCACTACGGACCACCATCGCAACAGTATCAAGAGGAGGTGCAAGCCGTGTACTACCGGCCCATAGCTTGGTGACAGAGGAATAGCCCAGAAAGAAAGTCCTGGAAGACACAGTCCATGGCCGGCGTAGTCAAAGGAAAAGGACAACATCGCACCTGGGACAAAAGTGCTTCGCTTGGCCGTGTGCGTGGCGGGCAATATGCCACTATGTACTGCAGAAGAGCCCGCGCGATCACAGGTATGATCTGAGTTTGCATGTGCTGAATCCAGTAGTCTCTACGCCTAAACCCCAAAGCCTAAACAAAAATAAAAGCAAAACTCCCATAGCCCGCTGGAGTCCTAAAACCCCAAGTGCAAGCCTCCAAGAGACCCAAGTCCTTTTAACCCAGGCTTTTCTCTCTCCTTTTCCTTAGCCTTAGGGTCTGGCCTGAGGGCCGATCTCGTCTTGCTCCAGACCTCAGCTTCAATCGGATCTCTTGGGGCTTTTGGGGGTCCCTGGTGTATCTTGTTTTAAAGGGGTAGTTTTTCCCTCTCGCATGGCTAAGGATCTATAGAATCCAGGGATCTGGGGTTGGTTTCGGTGGTGAGGAGTGAGAGTGCGGCTTTCGAGCACTTCTTTGGTGAGATGCCCCAAGCCGGCGTGCGTTGTTGTCCCTTCTGAAGCCTGTCCCGTGGACTGCCTTCCTGAGCGTGACACAACACCGCTCCTTCCGAGGAATATCAGGTTGAGGAGGCTGAACAAAGACAAACTTGCTGATGCTGACGAAGTAGGCTATATCGATGATGGTGACAATGATGGTGCTTGTGTGGGGGGATGGATGTAGCGTAGCTTTTCTCCTTCCCACACTTACAAAAAGCAATGAACACAATGATGCTAATGTAGAAGGCTTAATAATTAGAATAGGGTTTTGGGGCCCATTATACTATAATTTTAATAAGGAACCCCCAAAATAGTATAGGTAATTATTTAGGCCCCTATGTTACTGCGGCCCAGCCGCTGGCCAGCTTCATGGACAGCTCATACCGTCCCGGCCACGGGTCAACGAAGCCCATGTTTCCGCCAGGCAGCCGCGAGCGGCGAACAAGGTCTTTCAGTTTTAGTTCCTATCAATCCCGTCCTGGGCCCTGTCATGCGAACTGCAGCTAGGCTGGGTGGTTAGCTTTGGGCCCCAGGCGGCTCTTAACTTTGGGCTCCTACCAGTTCTACCCATGCCTTTGTGGCCCTGGCCAGCCACTATATATAATAACAATAGTAATAATAACTACAATGATACTAGTAATAATAACAATAACCAAATAAGGTAGGAAGGAGGTCGAGGTCGTAGCGATGACGGGTGCATGGCTAGCGGCTTCACTGAGAAATATATACCCGATCCCCCTGCCAAGGGAATTAACCTGAGGCGTCAGCCAAAACGGCCGCGGTCCGCGCCGGGCATAAAATTCCCCAAGCCTCCCCGAAGCCGACGGTTGCCAGGGCCGACATGCTTTCAAGATTCATGTAGGAACCTGATTAAGATACCCTGGGCTTTTCTTAGAGTTCTCAGTATGAATCCTAATAAAATGGGGTTGTAGGGCCAGCGGTTTCTTAATCAGGTTCCTACATTACCCACTAGTGCCTCAAGTGGACCAGGCCACTGCTTCGCCACTCTGCCCCATCCAAAATGGCGCAATGGGGAAGAGTTCATGTCAGCTGCCAGGCAACTCGTGAAGCCGCGCATACCCACCAACCACGACCTGAGATCATGAAGGATGCCGTGCATGTGGCCTCGCTCTGCGCACACAGACATATACATAATATATATATATACACATATGTTTATTATCTATATATGTATATAGATATATGTATGTGTATGTATATATATATATATGTACATGTATGTGTATACATATATATATATATATGTATACATATGAACTAGATATATCTGCACATACATGCATACACTCTAGTTGTTCACATATACATAAACATAGATTTGCCTACCTCTCTCTCTTTCTATCTCTCTGTCTATCTATCTGTCCATCTATCTATCTAACTATCTATCTATCTACCTATCTATCTTTTTCTTTCTATGCGCACAATGTAGTCATGTAAGAGCGTAGTTCGAAGTGCTTGAACTCTACTTTTGTATTATATACACATAAATAGTTCTTAACCTTTAAATCGGGACAGGCAAAAATTAGCATAAAGTGGAGAACAATCACAACATGTCGTCAGCAATTCTGTTGCCCGACTTGTCTTTCTGGCCTACCAGTACTGGCGTACTCGTCTAGCGGCTCTAGCGCCACATGGTGGGTGCTCTGATGTGCCAGCCGGAGTGCAATGAAACAATTGCAGAGAGATGAGCTCTCGCACATGTGCGTGTGGTTAACACTTCTTTTGTTGAACATACCGAGACATTTTTTGAGACGCAAAATCTGCGTGTGCGATCCCTACTTCCCTTGTGCTTCTACCCCCCTGTCTCACCTGGCCATACTCAAAAGCTTTTTCTAGTAGCTTAGTAGCAGCTTTCAAGACAAGAGAATCGATGTCGTTGTGGCTGATATCGCTCATGCCAACTTCTGTGTGACTAGATATCTCCATGCACACATTTAGGGACATTTACTTTCGCTTAAAGGGCTGTCGACGAAGGATGTCCTGCTATGCTTCACCTACCGCTGTAATACCTTGTAACTGCACAATAAACGAAGAGGGGTCGAGCTGAAGGGTCGTGAAACCCAGCTTTTGTTTAGTGGGCACAGCATCATGCGGAAACTGAAGCCTTAATGACTTAAACCTTTCCTTGCCTAGCCCAGTCTTTGGCTCCAAGCCAGGACCTGGAGACCTTGACACTCTCAAGCCCACGACACGCCTAGGCCACAGCAACCGAAGTGAGAAGGTCTGGAAATACAGGATCCTTGTCGCTCCATATAATTATCAAGAAGGGATGGCTCAACCCTCTAAGGCTTTCATGACTTTTCTCCCCTTAAATGTTCATGTCCGGAAGGCTCCGCGACGCGGCATAAGCTGTAGTGCCTCAAGCGCCAACCGCAGCATTGATTGAGGCCTCGGCTTCCCCGGTCCATTTTGATAAGGATTATAATGGGGATCCTAATTTTGAGGCCCTTCACGACAGGGTTTACCAAGTCTGCAGTATGCAAAAATATGTGGCCTCATTTGAGCGACTACCAGGGAGAAACATTTTCACACTTTGCAGAACTGGCTTCAGCATTTGGGGGTTACAAGAGTTAATTGCAAGATCTGCCAGTGGGAATTGGGGCGTGGAGGAAGAACCGACATGTTAACTGTTAACAATTTAACTACTCATACAAGCAGTGCAGTGCAGAATTCTTCTACGATGTGCAAGACACCTTTGGAGTCAGGGTTCGACATGGGGAAGACAGTGAAGACATCCGTCGTGACCGGAAAAGATATGCAGAGTGCATCGTGCCAAAATCAGGTTGCATCGGCTGCTACAGAATGCCATGTTCATCAACGGGCAGCAGGAAAACCAGTATCCATTCAATACATCGGGTCCAAAACTAAGGAACACACCCTAAAGTCTGCAAGCCAGCCTTTTTGTCCGGCGCGTGACGCAGCCAGGTTTTGGACATGAAGTCTCTAACACTAACTACCTGATGACGAGTCTCACCGCGCAAGATTCTTGAAATCTTGCGGAGAAACAGCAAAACTCACCACGTTTACTCAGGTTTTTTGATGCACCAACCCACTAAACAAGCTCAGAACTCTGCGCACACACACACACATCACTAATTGTTCATTGGAAGCTCAAACCATTCCATACCAACCTCGGCTCTCAAGGTGGCGCTTTATCGCCGCCCAAGACCGGCGTGTCGGGAGGTGGCTTGTCCGCCGCATCCCACAGCTGCCTCGAAGACTCAGGCAGCGAGACAAAGATGTGGCTTGAGGGCCTGTGCTTGAGGCTTTATGCCATTGCCTTCCCTGCAGCAACTCGGACATACTTTACAGAGTTCTACCAATATATGTAGACAGGTGTATACACAAGTGCAAAGACTGCCTCAGGCGGTTCAAGCTTGTAGGACATATGCCTGATGATGTCCAGATTTCATTCTGCCCGCGTTCCCGCTTACAAGCCCTCGCTGCACCAGCTGTCCCGATGGGAGTTCTACCATTTCTGCCCATGGGCTTGACAACTTCTGCGAGGAGACTCGAAGCCTTGAAAAGTACCAGCGCCTTTCTGATCATCAAGCACTCCTAATGCCAACAATCGATGTCGTAATGGGGGCTGAGCTGCCTCTCCAGAGGCACGAAGGCATTCAGGAGTTCCTCAGACCACATGCGTGAACTCCCACAAGCGATGTGCTGAGCAGTGTTGACAGGAACTGACTTGAAAATATCGCTCAGACTTGCAACCGGTGCAATCTCTGCGCATATGAAGTGTAGCTACTGTTTCAAACAGTGCATAGACTAACGTTTCTGTTTGGCATGTTTAAGCACTCGTAGTTTTGGCAACGCTCGAGGCTTGAGGTTGGTTTGGCTATCATGGCTAAGTCACTGACAGCCATTCCTGCGCGTGGTGACCAATAATGATCGCTGACTTAAACTCAACTACTAACTACATGGATTGCAAAGGCCACGGCGGTTCTTGCTTAAGTTTCCTGAGATAAAGCAAAACATGCACCTCCCTCTCCAATTGCCGTGAGCGTCCCACCGAACTCCAGATGAGCGCGTGTCTGCGCAGTCCAGGACAGCGATGTTCTGCTGTTGAGTGGGCAGGCGGTCCAGGCAAGTCTCGAAAGTTCGTCGCCGGCCATTGTCGCCCCAAGTGATTGGATTTTGTATCCAGCCAGGATTGGCTATGAATGAAAACTTCTGCGGCTGGTTGACATGCCCAGTGTGGCAGGGGTACCTGAAAGGCAGATCCGAGGGCGGGCTCTATCCTTTGGTTCGTCGGCAAGTTTTTGTTGCTATAGCCTAGCACAACTGGCAGTATGCTGACTGCGAGCTGCCTCCCAGGTCACCCATTCCCAATCACCCAAAACACAGATCTAATCTATACAGTCCTATCTGACATAGTTTAAATATGTCCCAAACGTAACGGGGCAGCCCAGATGCAAGATGGGCTTGTGCTCGCTCCCTGCATCTATGCAGTTGGCGGAGAGAACATGCTGCACCTGCGATGCCCCGCCCTGCGTGCGAAGTCTCCACCTGTCCACACACACGCACACACGGATGTGCACATTGTCACATGGTCTCTCCCGAAAAATCAACTTTCCCGAATTCGGTTCTTGAGTTTGCAGGTGGGGTGAGATGCTGCGTTCGAGTTGATCGCACATGCTGGTGGACCCAGCCTAAAGCTTGGCATGTCAAGTGAGGGGTCCGGCACGGGGTTCAATGATCCTGTGTTGGGGTGACGACCCGCATCGCCTCTGCTGCGGGGTACACTCTGACAGGCCAAGGACATTCCCGGACAGCGCGGAAAGGCATCGCCCGTCGTCTTGGTCCTAGGCTGTTATTCTTGCTTCGGGCTGTGTTCTGTCTGCATGCACGACTTCATTCGGAAAGCGGAGAGTCTTCACTGCGCATGCTCCCAAATTTGGCTGTTTACCGACTATGTCGCGACCATTGCTCAATTCTAACACTCGCTTGACTGTTGGACCGCTCGACGCTTGGGCAAGTCCGGCATGCATCTGCGCTCTACACTACCAAAAGCAGCAAGACAAAACACCCTGAACAGGCCTCGTGGTCCAGCAGCCCTAAACCCCCTAAAGCCGAAACCCAAGTCATGGCGAACCGAAGGCCCTACAGCAGTCCCCCGGTCCTTGAGTAGGAAGGTGCCATCCTGGTCCTCCTCCAGGCCTCAGGACAAGGGTAGCCCAGGGTCGGACAAAGGGAGGCAAGTAACCAAACCTGCCCCGTTCTTACGACTGAGAACTTCGAACACATGGTTTGAATATTTGTGTAGCTCTTCGTACAGCAAAGTATAGATCGACAGATACGTTACACAGAGAAAGCATCAGGTTTGCATTCTTTTGTCATTGGCTTTGCTACCCCTCCACTGAAGCACGACCATATTCTCAGCATGGTGGAGCTCTCGAAACAGCTCTCTGCAGCAGCAGCAGCAGCAAACCCCCAGGATGCCCTACGACAAATTTTGAGAAGGGCCATGCTTCCGGGGGAAGCCGAAGTCGACTCGGGTCTATAATGCCCAGGCAGTCAAGGCACGTTGAAGCCGCTGCCCCGGTTTAGGAGCGCAGGTAACCAATCGATACTCTCCTTCATGGGGCATCAGTCAGTGCAGCATAGATTGCGTTTCGATTGAACTCCTCACACCAACGAAATATCAACATGCCCGTAACAGTCGCTGGCTGGTACATGGCGATCCTGTGCATCCGACCGAAAGCCAAGTCTTGCTCAGACTCTTCGGTCAACTTAAGGACGGCAAGCACAAAAACATGCTTCTGTTCATGCTGGTAATGTGATTCTCGCAAACGTGAGTTGTCATATGCGATCCTTGTGGAGGGTTCACCTTCTCGTGGATCTTCCGCGAGTCAATGCATATCTGTCCGCCACCGTCTCTCCCCTGCGACATTTGGACTGTGAAAGCGCGAGACAGCGATTGTCATTGTAACAGTTTAGAGGGGTGTGTCGGGTCAGCTTCGTACATAGACTATCATAGACCCACGTTTGGGATTATGGCTCCTGCTGGAGGAGGACTGGGGAGATGCAACGGCAGCTCAAAACAGGTGACTGCTACGCAATGCATCGGGAAGGCCACCAAACGGTAGCACCAATGCCTTCAAGACCTCTGTTCACAACAAAGGTCTACAATGTGAGAATTTGAAAAACATCGCATGTTTGGCGAGTGCCCTGCCGTGCCTCCCACAAGAGCCTTGCAGCACGGATCTGCCACACTTGGTTCCTCGATCTCTCGGATGTCGGAGATATTTGGAGGTTAGGGTTATCAAAGACATACTTCGGCACGCATACTGGGGTTGGATGTGCTCGGCTTAGATTGGTGGGTTGAATGACAAGGCCAAGAATCCTCGTGTACTGTATGTCCTCCTGCTGCAAGCATCTATCGCAATCCATCGCATTTTCGAAGCTCGGATACTTGTTCTACACCCTGAAGAGGAAGCCCCGAACCTTGCCCCCACTGATGATAAGAGGGTCATGTTGTGCGCGCTTTCGTCGTAGCAGGGGTAAACCAGCACGTCCCGACCACCGCTGGAGTCCAAGCAGTTGCGGCCATCGCCTGCTGCATTCGGTTAGGGCTGTGCTTCATCTGCTTAGGGTTCTGCGGTGCATGCCGTGGGCCCAGAAGACTTTTCCTGAGGACTCGGGGGGCTCCAGCTGCGAGCTGGTGGGCGAGCGTGGGATACTGTCGTTTATCAGGGTTCCCTCTACCGTGGGGTACATGCAGCCCCTGGGCTACTCTCATACTCTCTCTACTCTCAGGTAGGAAAACCAAGCTTGCATAACAGCGTCTCAAAGGATCCCCTACTGCCCTGTGTAACCCGGCCTGGCCTGTTTTGATTTCAAAGCCTCCGAAGCGTGGGATGGCCTTAAAGATCCTCGGGGAACAGAGGAAAGTCCAATCAATATATATATATATATATATGCATTTTTGGTTGTGCGTTCTGCGTTCTGCCCCCCCCCCCCCCCCATGGTATCCC